AGACTCAAAAAACCGACAAAAATGAAATAAATAAAAAAACAAAGGGTAGAAATGCAAACCGTGGTGGGGTTGCCTCCCCACAAGCGCTTCTTTACCGTCTTTTAGCTGGACGCCCATGGTGGATACTCAGCGGGGTGCAGGAACAAGTGTCTCCAAGAGCGGATCCACATCGCTCTTGAGGTACAGCTTCAGATGATGGCCATGCACCCGACGGGTACAACCACCGACATTGGTCAGCTCGACCTGGCCATCCGGCAGGATGCAAGCGAGTGAGTATTCGGATGGCCAGGGTGATCGTGATGCAGGAGGTGGGACCAGCTCATAATGGCCTCCTCCTTTCTTCCGAGTAGGCCTAGGCACCTGCTGCTTCGGCCGCCACTCCTCTTTGAGCTTTTTATTCGGTGGTGAGGCTGGAGGGAGCGGCGGCGAAGGAGTGAGAGGGGGGTCCTGCAAAATGGGAGATGCAGACGGATACACGACAGGCTCGTGTACCGGGTCAGAAATAGCATGCACAGGTGTGACAGCAATTATAGCACAGTGATCGAATTCAGTCACAGCAAAGGTAGCCTATTCATTTCCAGCACGCAGTATCAGTTTACCATCATGCACATCAATAAGTGACTTGGCGGTGGCAAGAAATGGTCTCCCTAAAATCAAAGGCACATCCACATCATCATTTATATCCAGAATAACAAAATCAACAGGATATGTGAATGCACCCACTTTAACAAGCAGATCCTCTATGATACCCCTAGGATGCACAACGGAACGGTCAGCTAGCTGAATGCTCATCCTAGTAGGGCTAAGTTCACCTAGGTCTAGCTTTTTGAACAATTTGTATGGCATGACATTAATGCTAGCGCCTAGGTCTGCCAAGGACTGTCCTATATGCATGCTGCCAATAGTAAGAGGGATAGTAAAACTCCCTGGGTCCTTGCGCTTTTCGGGCAGCTTGTTCTGCAGGACAGAAGAACATTCCTCGCTCAGCAGCACTGTCGAGAGATCCCCAAGTTTCTTCTTGTTGGTGAGGAGATCTTTCATGAACTTTGCGTACTTGGGCATCTTCGACAGTGCCTCCACAAATGGTACGCTGATGTTGAGCTGCTTCAACATTGCCATAAACTTGGCAAACTCAGTCTCCAGCTTGTCTTTGTGTAGGCGAGTGGGGAAGGGAAGCTGGGGTACATGCTCCTTAACCACTGATTGTGGCTTGGGAGCAGGGGCTTCCTTCTCCACCCGCACTTCTGCATCATCGGCTGGAAGTGCTGAAGCAAGTAGTGATTCCTCCTGCCTGGTCGGGGCAGGATCAGCCGATGTGGGCCTGCCACTCCTGGTGAAGATGGCATCCAGCTGCTCGTGCGGCTCCCGTGGATTGGGGATGGTGGTGGCAAGTAGAGTCCCCGGGGCCCGGGCAGTAAGTTGGCGCGCTAGGGCACCGACTTGGTGCTGTAAATCTTGGAGAATAGCACCTTGGTTCCTCTGTCCTGCCTCCAGAGAGGCTATGCTCTGGTCCACCCTCGTGAAATTCGCCTGGCTGGTGGTCATGAATGCCGCCAAAATATTATTCAGATCGGTCATCTGGTTATCGGGAGCTGGGGCTGCTGCTGGCTCGGCATACTGTCGCTGGGGCTGCTGAAATGGCTGCCACTGCCTAGGCTGGTAGGGCTGCTGCTGTGGTGGTGGCCCCTGCCTAGCCTGGAAGGGCTGCCTCTGCTGAAAACCACCTGCTGGTGCTGGAAAACCAGGTGGTTTGTTGGTGTTGCTGCTCCAGGCAAAGTTGGGATGCTGGCGCCATCCCTCATTGTAGGTATTGCTATATGGGTCAAGGCGCCGAGCATTTGCAATGAAGTCCACCTGTTCTTGGGGAGTAGAGGACTCCCTCATAGCCTGACAGTCCTCCACCCGGTGATTCGGGCTCTCACACCACTAACACTGAGCTACTGGAGGCGTAGTTGTACCTCGGCCCGGAAGGAGACTGTTGGGCTGCTTCAAGGTCTGCACCAACTCAGCCACCTGCTGCTCTAACCCGGACCTGGCCTCCATAGCGTGCACACCCCGATCCCGGGAATTTCTGCCTCTGCTGTTCTGCCCCAGGAATGATCTCGGGCAGCCAAGGTACTAATCATCTGGTTCAGCTCGGGTGGAGTCTTAGTGAGAATATCCCCTCCTGGGCATAGAGACTCTATCCCCCTCTGGCTGTCTAGGGTGAGGGCACTGTAGAAGTTGCCCACTGTGAACGCATCACTGAAGCCATGATGGGGACACTGCCAGAAGTATCCCATGTACCGCTCCCATGCATCACGAAGTGACTCATCTGGCTCTTGGCGGAAGTGAGTGATCTCCCGCTGAATCTCTGTGGTCTTCGATGCCGGATAGTACCTGTGCACGAACTTGTCTGCCAGATCGTCCCAAGAAGTGATGGACAATGGGGGCTGGGTCTCCAACCACCTCTTAGCATTCCCCGCCAGAGAATGGGGGAAGAGGTGAAGGCGGATTGCGTCATCAGGAACACCGTTGAGCTTGAACCCGTTCGTCAGCTGCAGAAACCGGGAAAGATGCACCCGGGCCTCCTCATCCTTCAAGCCATGGAACTGGATAGAGGATGTAATGAGTTGAATCTAGCATGGCTTGATCTCGAAGTTGTTTGCTGGAATTGGTGGATAGAGGATGACCGGGCGGATCTCAGCAATCCGTGGAGTGTAGTAGTACTCCAAGGTGGGACCCGGTGGTGGTGGATGATGATGGACCCCAGCTGCCTGGGGATTGGGGTCGTTCCCCAGGAACTGGTTCCCAGGAGGTGGGTTGTGGTCGCCTTCCATCTCGTTCTTGTCCTCGGACTCGCTGCTCAATTGGCCGTCTCTGCGCTCCACCGTAGCCAGTCTAGCTCGCTGTTGTCTCCGAAGTTGGTTGCAGGTGCGTTCAATCTCTGGATCCAACGGCAGTAAACCTCCCGACTGGCCACGGGTCATGCACTATCTGGACACAATCAAGCAATGCAAACCCGTGAATGCACAAGTGGGAAAGGACAAACACTCAATGTGAGAAGGAAAATGCTAAAGTAACAGAAATCACTTTTCTTCAACAACCTAGCGGTTCCCGGCAACGGCGCCAAAAACTTGACTCACTCCTACCGTCACTCTAGAAAATGGCCAAGTGTAACCACTTCCTAAAGCGTAGTATAGCGGGTTTGGGTTTTATTGTCAACCCGGGTCCTAGATGTGATGACTACTCGGTGAATTCTCGTTATCTAGCAGTGAACTTTTAGTGCAGATTCAAACAAACAAAAAACACAAAGCAAGTTTAACGGTTGTTCAAGTCAAGAGAGGTCACCCGGATATGGTTCCCCCTAGTCTGCAGTTAAGCCGGATTGTAATTACCAAGTTCAATTTCTATGATAGTTATACTGCGGAAGGTTCTCAAACAGTCTGAAGTCTCGACTAAAGGTCTTCAGACCCTCTCAATCTGAGTCTCTAGCGGGCGACTAACCTCCACCGGAGTAAACAGATTGAGGCCCTAACGAACCAAACCTCCACTACCGAATTGAATTCGGTACAGAATAGCGAATTGGCTCCTCGACTAAAGTCACCAATTCACTACCTTCAATTAAGGGTGCTCTATCAACCTAGGCAGATACTCTCATTCTAGGTTAAAGCAGAAACAATAGGAATTTGATCAGGATTCATGCCATTCAATCATTCAAACCTCAATCGAATATAATCAAATCATAGAAACAGTACTTGGGTTCATACAATCAATCCTAACATACAGATCTAGGGTTTCCCACACCCAGATGAATGGGAGAACTACTCCATGAAGAAAGAAGCAAAAGTAGAATCAGATGCGGAAACCATACGGTGAAGGATGGATTTCAGCTCCTGGACGTTGATCGGCACTCTTCCAAGCTCAAGCCAAGCTCAAATGGTGATGAAGATCAAGCTAGGGCACTTGGAGACTCTTGTTCGTCGCTTTCTCTCTCTAGGAATCGCTCTATCTCTCTAAAACTCGAATCCCCTCTCTTTTTGGCTGAAATCTGCCTAAAAGGGCATCACTGGCCAGAACACGGTCGAGGGCACGGCCGTGTTCTGGTCCAGCCCGCCCGTGCCCTCTGCCACGTGGTAATTACACGGGCACGGCCTGGGGAAAACACGGGCGTGTTCTGTGTGGGACACGGCCGTGTTCTGGGGTGACCCCGCCTGTGTTTTTTAGCTGGTTCAGCCCACACATGGAGACCCTCGGCAGTAAAAGCACGGCCAGGAACACGGCCGTGTTCTGAAGGCCTCCTGCCCGTGTTTTGGTCGTGGCTCGACCAAACGACTTCCAAATGATTCGAAACTCGCGCTTGGCCTTCCCTTCGACGCCTGAGACCTGAAATAGGACAAAATAGCACAACCCGGCGTAAAATAGGCCAAAACACACAACTATGCTCCGCAAATGGATAAGAAATAGGGGTATAAAATCATGCAATTACATCGTTATCACAACTCCCGGGTGAAGCTCCCTTAGTTAGAGTTTTCCTTTATTTACTTTTCTGTTGCTTATTTAGTTTTTAGTTTTCTTAGTTTGAAAACTCAAAACTATTTTGTCATATTACAACTTAAGTGATTGAAGTAGGGGTACATGGACCGGCCCAGGTTGACAATTTAAATACTTGCTCTATACTGCACCCGACTAGAGTTAAAAAAACTTGAGCTCTAGTCGGGATTAATTTGTTGTTTAGTTTCGTGCGAGTCATGTAAATTGCTAGCTGGTTGAGTTTGTGAAATTTTTGAATGATTATGCCTATTTTAGTGTACATTCAAATTTGTGTTATCAAATCGTAGTAAATAATATTTTCATGACTTTTTTATAAAATTTGGTGAAGGTTTGTGCTAGTTTTACAATTTACACCATCTTTCCAAGCAGATCACATTCTTTGTGCTTATTGGTGCATAAGTAGCAAATCCAATACCTACTTTTATTCAAGAGGCTCCATCTCTCTTTCTCTCTCTTTTCATTTGTCCGAAATCATTCCAGCGCCCTGCAAAATCCAACTCTCTCTCTCTCTGCTGCACAGTCCATTTTCTTCCTGCAACTGCCATCTTTCTTCTTCTTCTTCTTCTTCTTCTGGATCCCAAAATTAACCCATAGGAAGAAGTATGTATATGGAGTCAACCACTAGCTGCTTTGACCCCACAAGCTTCGACACGAACGAAGACCACCATGGCGACCTCTCACAACCTCTCCCGCCTCCGCCGGCCTCAATGCCCGCCGCCCCCTCCTCTGTCAACCACCAAAACAGCTTGGTGTTGGAATCCATGGGCGACCTCCCAAATTTCCAACACCACCACCTTTCCCAGTCCCATACAGAGGACGACCCATCCTCCGCCGCTGCAGCCATGGAAATGGGTTCTGGTTATGGCGACAGCAGTAGCCCTGCTCACATGAATTTGATGCTCACGGATCGGCTGCCTTTCACAGCCACGACCCCGGACCTGAACCTTTTTAACCTACCCAGATGCTCCGCTTCGCCTCTTCTCCCAAATTCATCCATCTCCTTCACCAGCAACGACCCCAATTCGTCCGTTCCCAAACCCCTGGTGGGCGGCGGAGGGGGGTACGGCTGGGATCTTCCCATCGGCGATGGAGCTCACTCTGCCTCTTCCGTTCACTACGACCCGCTTTCCTACCTCAACCTACCGCCGCAGCCGCCCCTCTTCAGGGAGTTGTTCCAGTACCTCCCCTCCAACGGCTACGCCTCAGGCGGTTCTCCGAGAGGCGGTGGTTCTCTGTTGGGTGGCGGAATCGATCTCCATGGAGAAGGAAGCAGCGTGGGCGGCGGCGCCTCTGGAGGTGGGATTTACGCACACGGGATCGATGGATCGCAGCAGCTGGATAGTAGCGTTCTAGAGTTCAATTGGGACATGGCTTGTCTAGCCAAGGGGAGAGTAGCTGGAAGAATGGCGAAGCCTCTGACAACAGAGCGGCAGAGGAGGCAGCAAGTTAACGACAAGTTTGTCACTCTCAGAAATTTGATTCCTAATCCTACCAAGGTAAGCAAATTAACATTGAATTGCAATTTCCTTATTCCTTCAATTTAATAGTGAATTTTGTCCATGACTGTGTCTGTTTGGGTTGGGGGTGTCAAAAAGAACGACAAAGCTTCAGTAGTGGGAGACGCAATTGGCTACATCAAGGAGCTCTTAAGCACAGTGGAGGAACTGAAATTGCTGGTGGAGAAGAAGAGGTGCAGCAGATGGAGGAACAAGAGGCACAGGACGGATCAAGAGGACGTTAATGGCGGAGAGGGAGCCATGAACGGGACCTCATTGGAGATGAAAGCTTCGTCTGCTGCTGAGGGTGATCAGGTGGACAAATCCTACAATGGGTCGACATTGAGGAGCTCTTGGCTTCAGAGGAAGTCCAAGGACACGGAGATTGATGTGAGGATCATTGAAGATGAGGTGACCATTAAATTGGTTCAGAGGAAGAAGATCAATTGCTTGCTGTTTGTTTCCAAGGTGCTTGATGAGCTGCATTTGGATCTTCACCATGTCGCTGGAGGCCATGTTGGTGATTATTACAGCTTCCTCTTCAATACCAAGGTCCGCCTACTCTTTTCTTGTTGGTTTACAATTAAGGTTCTCCTATTCTGTTTCAGAAGAGAAAAACGAAGATAGAAATCAAGGCTAGTGGAGCCTGCTCAGTTGAACTTGTTCTTGTTGTTATTGTTTTAGCAGATATGTGAGGGGTCTTCAGTGTATGCAAGTGCCATAGCCAACAAGCTGATTGAAGTTGTGGACAAACAGTATGCATCCACTCCATCAATAAGTTGCTACTGATGATCCAGAGGAGCCATTTTCCAACCATTTTTAATTAGGTCAAAGTGCTAAAAGAATTCATGGCAATGCATCAGGTCAAACTGCTGGGAAAAATGAGGACATAGACATTGGTCGTTGGATTAGCAAGTTTTATGTGTGAGCACATTGCTAATCCCAGACGGGGAATTATATAAAACACTTGATGTTGATGACTTTCCTAATAGATGGGGCCTCACACTAGTTGCATGATAGTACTGTTATAGCTAATGGCTTATCTGTTATACATGTGTGATCGATCAATGGTTTGTGCTGTTCATGGTGCATGGCTCAACCGTAAGGATAGGATAATGTTAATTTATTGGGCCTTATTTCTCTCGATATCTTATTAACCTCATGTGTTTCACATTGCATTCCTGCTTTTCATATTACTTAGGGTCGTTTGCTTTAAGTATTTGGTACATGGATTTGGTATAAAAAACCAACTATCAAGGATTTAGGTACAAATACAATCCGTTGTTTGCTTGCACCTTTTTTGGAGACCAAATCCGTGGGGTCCACGGATTTTAAGGGTCCAAATCCGTGGACCCCACGGACTTATAAATCCCACATGTTGATATGGGATTTGGAATATGTCATAAATCCTTGATGAGATTTTACCCATATACCTTCATGCACTTTTAATATTCCAAGGTTGCCCTCAAATTTAACTATTATACATTATAATTAACAATAAATGAATAATATAAACGTTCAATTAATGTGCAAACATGAGTTAGATTTTTTATATCATTTCTTGTGTTCTAGTTTTCTTTGACCTTTTCATGGAACATGTAATTCTTTGTTCTCCCGATTCTAATATATGTTGTTATATGTCACTTTTGAAAAGGAGGACAAAGAATTGGTAATTGATTATGTTACGTTAAAAGTTAAAACGGAATTTTCTCGTTTATTATTATTGTCCATGTGGCAACATTATGCTTATTAGTATATATCGTCCTTGTTTTGTGTACATATCATAAACATGTCAAACATATATAAAAGGGCAGTAATGTAATTTTTGACTTCAAGTAGTAAATCCCACACCTTTAAATCCATGATAAAAACATCCCAACAAACAAAGGATTGTTACAAATCCATGATGCCTTAAATCCTTGATAAATCCTTGGATTTTTAAATTACAAAACCCTCATTTTCAAATCCACGAAGCAAACGACCCCTTAATGCATATTTTGATAATTTACAATAGCTTTAGGGGTGTAAATGAGCCCTTTGCCTTTGAATTTGGGCTACAAGAACATATAGAAAAGAGGGAGGTAGCTTTATAAAAAATAAAAAAAAGAGGGAGGTAGAGGTAAGGGTTAGAATTAATATTAGAATTATTATAATGTGTATATTATTATATAGGTTAAATACACTTGTATATCCAAAACTTTCACGGTTGTGCCAATAATATCCAAATTTCGCGAAATACCCCTCATATCCAATTCTTTCACATTCTTTAACGGTGTTTTTGGATATACAAGTGTATTTAACCAAAAATATATTTGGAAATGGATAGATTTGGCAAAGAACAACTTTAAAACATGGACATAAGTGGTATTTCGCGAAATTTGGATATTATTGGCACAACCGTGAAAGTTTTGGATATACAAGTGTATTAAACCTATTATATTTAATAATTATGTTTTGAATAAAAAATATTAGTTAATGATGATGACTGTTATGTGTTATGGGTTTTGATTATTAATTTGGGAGTCTTTGTGACTATTATTAGGATTAGTCGCTTATATATTGCAACTACAATATTTGTCTGATTTATCAATCAAATCAATAAATAAAAGGTTTTTACACTTTATGTTATTCTCTCGCTTTTGAGTTACAAGCAAAACTTTGGAATCGTGAGTTACGGTTCATCAACATGGTATCAGAGTTTGGTAGATCTACGAGAATTGTTTCATCCACAGCTGAGCGTTGTTTCGCGTTAGAGGCCACATAGGAGCAGACCAACGAGTCAATTGTGGACTTGAGCATATGATACACCTAAAAATGTGTTATTTATCCTTCATTTATTAAGTGTTTCATTGTCATTTTGAGCATAAATTGATTTATAAAACGTCATCTGTAGTCTAGATTGCTTCCTTTTGTCATTTCTTGTTAATTTAGGCCACATTCGACGTTACAAGAGAAAAGGGGGAGAAACCGGGCTAATTTGTAGGAAAAATGGATGAAAGGAGAAAACACAAAGATCGCAGCCTAAGAAGCAGGATCTTGGCCGAGAAAGAAGCCCGTGAAATTAGGATCGCTGACCACAGCTAGAACATTGTTATGGCGATCTTTGGACCCATGGGTGCGAACTTCACGAGGAAGGGTCTAAGAATGGACAGAGAGTTGTGCTAGGCGGATCGTAGGCCACGTTGAAGGATGCCACGATAAGGTTCATGGCTGCGAGACTAAGTTCGTCGTCGCAAACACAAGGTGCGATCACTCGCACTCCAAAGACTAAACGGCGAAGCTAAAGATCGCGGGCCATCACTAGCAGATTTCGGCTGTGATCTTTTACCCCTCATTTGCGATCCTGCCCGAGAATTCCAGGGCTATAAATAGAAGAGCTGCTTTACTCGACATGAGAGTCGACTTTGAGAGAGAAAATTAGGGTTTTGGGCTCTCTTTAGAGAAAGAAACACTTTGGGAGAGGTTAATTGAAGATCAAATCCACCCAAGGAACAAGGAGGAGGTGCAAACAAGGAGAAGAAGATAGTTTCCATCCTCTCCTTTCTCCTTAGTTTGTGTTTTCTTCCTCTCTCTATGACTTGAATCCCTAAGGTTGTGTAGGAAAGATGAACCCTACATTGTAGTTTATTGATGGGTCATGTGTATGAATGGTTATGAACCTATAATCTATGTCTATTTGATATTTGTGCAAAAATCTCTTGGTGAGTGTGATTGATTGTACTTACTTAGTTAAGAACTTCTTCTGTGTTAGGGTGTGCATAGACACCACTTAGTGTGGGATTGTCTGTATCCCATTTGTTTGGTTGTAACTTAGATAATAGGGGAGTATTCATTATGTTATATATGGGTTTTTGGTGTGTTTGAGTTTAATTATAGTTTTTATGCTTCATCTAGGAATGATTATACTGAGGATTGTCTCTTCCACTCTTCTCTACTAGCCCACAACTGAGTCTAAGAACTATGTGGGAGTTTTAGAGCTAGGCTGGATTTGAGCACCTTATGGCTAATTAGGAGTAGATGAATGATATGGGAATCTAGTTTGTTGACGAGGTGACTGTACCCTCTTCTTATTAGATGTCCACCTAGGTAATGCTCGTAGGATAACGTGCGTGACCATCAGCTTGCCCAACTTGTGTGCAGACAAATAGAATCTGTTTAGAGGAGGTAACACATACCCCTAGTTAGGTAACCCGGTTGAGGTGATGTTGGACCGACTATCCTATCTAGGAGGGGGATCGGTTGCATGACCATTGAACCGTTTCCCACCTTAGTGACCTTCGCACCTCAAGACACCATTATATTTTCGCTCGTATCAATCTATAGCTAGAGGAATTCAATTTTAGGCAACCAATCCATCTCTAGCGGTCTCCAACCACTCGGTTGGTTCTTTGTTTTGTTTATAGTTAGGTTAGATTAGATACTTCACCCAAACTTCCGGTTTGATTAGATAGTAGTTCGGAGCGCAGTAATAATAAGGTTAAGGTTTCCTTGGAATACGATCGAGCCAGTTTACTATATCCCTACCTTAGTTATACTTAGCTTAGTTAGGAGTGATTAGAGTGTGCTTTGACTTATAAATTTAAAGCTCGATCATATGCATCAGCAGGTGGGGAGCATAGTGGAGGAGATGCTGCAGGAGGTCTTGGATAAGGTGAAGCTCATCTCATCACAGCAGGTGATGAACGACATAGACAACATGACATGCAAGGAAGAGGCTCTAGAGGAGGAAGGCGATGAATAGAAGAGTTCCACAAGGACCAAGGGTGTGAGCAGTCAGTGCCGCATCGACAATTAGTGTAACATCCTATAAATTAGGGTTAGATGATGGAGACGATAACAAGATGCTAAAGCTCCTGGAATCATGTTTGCTACACGAAGTAAACATGTTAAAGATCACATGAAGAGGAATAGAAGGTGATGCCATGTATGGATTAAGTGTCTTAAAATGGGTTTTGGATAATTTGGTTGTGAATGAATGAAGATAGATTGATTCGGGCCTAATTGTACATGTTTTGCCCCCGTTTTCCTTAGTCGTTTGTGGCAACTTTGCTCCTAAAAGGTTGGTTTTACGCTAGGTTTCTCGTGTTTTAGTGTGTTTCAGGATTTAACAGGTGAAACCAGCCTCGGAGTCGAAAGTTGGACGAAAAGGATCGAAAACCGGGAGAAGAGGTGAAAAAGGGCGAGATCATGGTTTTCTTGGGTTGTTCACGGTCTTACATGACCGTAAAGAAGAGCCATGGGCCTTGAATAGGAGTTGTGGACCGTGAACACAAGGAAGCAAAGCGGTGCGTTTCGACGCCCAATTGGAGTTCACGGACGCGTTTCAGTGTTCACAGCCGTGAACTGGAGCCGTGAACACAGCCCGTTCCCTATTTAAAAGCTGAGTTGAAAGGAAGAGAAAGGGGGAGCTCATTTTGAGTGAGAAAGCCTTCTTCTAATTTATAGAGAGAGAAACACGAACCAAAGAAGAAGGAGGCTAGAGTTTTGCTCCAAGGTGGATTTTGGGAAGATTTCCTCCAAGGAAAGTTCAACACAAGGGCCATGAAGATTGGAAGCCTCCTCCCAGATTGTTTCTACCCCTTCTCCTTGTGTTTCTCCCATCTCTAGCATGGAGTAGAATTCTTTTCACTTGGGTGTTGTGAAACCCTAACTCTACCATGTAGTTTTCTTTTATGTGAATTGAATGATTGTCATTGGCTATTGTTTAATTCAAATGTTTGAGATATTATTCATCTTGATTGTGCAAGTTTTTGCTTAGCATCCTAAGGTTTGTGTATGTCTATGCTTAGCAACCTAAGGATTGTGCATGTCTATGCTTAGCAATCTAATTCGCCACATAACCTAGTCTAGAGAGGGAAACCCCCCTTCCAAGGGAGTCTCAATTGAGTTGGTATCCCTAGAGCTTTTCAAGTCTTCTAACTAGGTTAATTTAGGACAAACCTCAATATTGGATTAAGCAATTTGGTTAAGCGCGATTAAGCCGAGCAACCCTTGGGTGAGTGAGGGAGTAAGTCAACCATTGATTGCCTAAACCGAGAGGGCCAAGTGACATCATATAATGCATGCCTTGGTTTAGCAATCATGAGCGTGGTCTACGACCATATTTGCGTCCCCTAGCGGTTAGCGATCACCTTGCCCATAGTAATCAT